CTTTGATGGCATAACAGAAATGACAATATCAGCCAGGCTGAGTTCTGTTTTGTTTTTGGGTGATGGAAAAGTCCTAAAAACAGAGAGGAGTTTATCTTTTTCTTCTGCCATGCAAGATGTAAACGATTTTGAATTTCAACATCAGAATGTTGCAACTGACACTGAAAGTTTTATGGGTTATTTTCCCCCTTCTTACCTCCTTTTCTCACAAAGCATGTCCTCCATCTCTCTCTTTCTCTTTCTCTCTTTCTCTCTCTCTCTCTCTCTCTCTCTCTCTCTCTCTCTCTCTCACACACACACACACACACACACACACACACGTTCTTTAGGGTGAGAAGGGCAGAACAGGCTTTGGAAAAAAAGGAAACAGTCCAAAGAACAATACACCACGAGTCCGCAGTTTAGGAAAATAACAAAGGAGAAAGCAGCAGCCTGCGCCCAGGGATGCTGACAGCCCTTCCAGCTGAGCAGCAGTTTGCATGGTGCTGAAATCCTGCTTAGTAATGGATTTCAGTGGCTCCCGCCTGGGAGTGTTTGGGGGAGATAAAGGGCGAGCTGCAGGCAGTGACTCTGACCTGTTTTCAGTTCTAGACAACTGCCTGGCGTGGCTGCCTTTCTGGATGTGAGCATGAAGGTTTCCTCTGCAGTCCTTGCCGCCTGCTTTTAGGCAAGGTTCGCTGGGGCGGGGCGGGGATTCTTTGTTTTTTTTGGGGGGATTCATTATTGTGTTGTTGTTGTTAACTTTCCTTGTAAGGTTTGCTAGGACCTCCATGCTGATGAACTGCCAATTTGCATTCTGCACCCTGCCAACCGTCACCTGCCCACAGCACCACCATTACCCTACTTCTCGGGTCTCTGCTCTTCTAGTTTCTGCCTCAAAGCCCTTGCGTTTTACTCTTGTCTTGAGCCTGGGGAATTCTCTTCTCTCGCTGCCTTTTTGCCTCCTTCAGGTAATGCAGCATCTGCCTGTGGCACTCAGAGCCTGAGTGTCAAAGCCACGGGCACCTGCTGTGAGCCCCCAGGGATGACCACGCCAGGGCGGTCACATTCTCAGACCTGGACCCTGGGGCCTCCTGCTATCCCACTGGCTAAACAAGTGTCAGCAGTTGTTAAAGCCGGGCGAGTGTGCAGGGAAGCTGGGGACACTGGGGTTGGCTCTTACTCCCAACCCTTGTAAGCTCTTCGACGTGGGGCAAAGTACGTGCCTGGGCTGCCACGAGGAGTGAGTGCGCAGGTGCGTGTGATGTATTGTAGCAGCAAGAACTTGGCCATCAGGTAGCCCAGGCCCACAGCTCCGAACTACCACCCGGAGCCTTGTGCCTTGGGCATGTCGCCAGGGTTGTTGGAGGTTCTGCTTCCTTGTGGGAAGACTGGGGTAATGATAGTACCTCGCTTGCCAGTTTGGGAGAATTAAATGGGATAATAATAGTAATAAGTCTCATTTGCTGATGGCTTACTCTGTCAGGATCTAAGTGCTTTATAAGAATTAGCATCTATGTTTATGGTCCACTAATGCAGTGTAGTTATGCTAATGCATAAAAATAAAAATATTATACATTACAAAGCATTTAGTATCCGTGTGTGTATAAAGAGATTTATTTTAGACGTACACAACTGTATAGTTCCGTCTGTGTAATCATGCTATATATCAGAGAAAAGACATATACATATTATTTGAATTTCTAAAATGTGTATGGATTCATCTAAGTTATGCAGATAAGTAGAGAAATGATTTAAAAGAAAAAAAATGCTGTCAGGCTAAGCGCTGTGCATCTTTGAACACATCTTATTCCCAGGAGAACCCTGGAGGGAGGTACTGTTCCCATCCACGTTTTAGAGATGAGATGGCTGAAGCACAGAGGCTAAGAATTTTCAAGGTGACTCTCACACGGTGCCTGCACGTACAGGTGTGTGTGCATAAGCGCAGAGATTAAATATGTGTTTTGTAACGGGCCCGGAACTGCAGTGAAACCATGTTAGCCAGTCTTCTTATTACTTCTTTCGTTCTCAATACAAGCTACAGCCCTATTCCCTTTAAGAAGTGACTCCATTAGGGTTAAAAGAACCCTTGGTGTTTTCTTCCTAATACTGCCTTGCTGCCCAGAAATCATTCCCCACTTTGAGATTGTGGGTTCACTCCCTTATGACCCCAGATATCTGTCATCAAAGCAGCCTGATTCGCGAGGCCACAGAGGCTTTTTTCCCACCCGTTTCGTGGCCCACCTCCAATTTTCCAGTTGGGCGATGAGTGCGCAGCCTATGAGGTAAGACTGGGCTCTCCCAGGAGTTTCTCCCAAAGTGCCAGGGGGCCAAGTGCTCCTGTTCACCCCAAATCGACATCTCTCAGGATGTCAGATGAGAGCAATGGGAAACCCCAGTTTCACCCATGAACTGAAGGGCTGTGAGATGAACATCAGATTGAAGCCTCAGCAATGGCACATGAGATTGTCACGTCCTTCCGAAAAGACTGCACCTGCTGAATTTACATACAAATCTCCCAAAGAGATCATATATATTTGTGTGTGCATGAGCACACGTATTGTCCAACAGTGAATTTACACACACACACACACACAAACACCCCAGGCTTTCCCAGGAATATGACTATTCTATCTCTTCTGAGAATACTATTTCCAGTACTGATTCTGAACTTTATGGGTCACAAAATAATCAGGTTGTCATGAGCAAGGTTGAGAATGTGCGTCTTACATAGGTACAGGCAGGTAGATGCTTGAGTACATGTGGGCATGCGCTCACCCACTTGCACATGCACATTGATGGGTCCTCCTGGCATTATGAGGGTCGGATCTGCGGGGAGAACCTAACAAGAGCACCCTCAGGAAGTTCGAGAAGGTGGTCCCTCCCACAGGGCGGTGGCCCTCAGCCTGGGGAGTGCCCAAAGCAGATGGGGCCCAGGAATCTGCTTTCAAACAAGCTCATCAGGTGTTTCTAAGAGAGGAGGTCGGGGGATGGCCCCTCAGAGGGGCACTGTCACAGCAGTAAAGGACGTTTGCTGTGCGTGCACATGTGCAGCATGCACATGGCCATGAGTGCATGCGTACATGCATGTGTGTGCATGTTATGTTGCCTGGGAGAGGCCTGAGATAGCGGAGTGCTCACAGAGCTCCCTGCTTTCCAGGAAGTAGAAACAGCCTTCAAATGTCACCACGTATTATTGAGGTCCTCAGGGTGGTGAGTAGGAAAATGGGACGGGACTGAGACGGTGGTCTGAGCGACGGAACTGCACCTGCACTGTTTTATTTTATTTTATTTCTAATACGGAGAAGGTCTTACTGTGTCATGAAAATATTGTTTTAAGAAAAAAATTGCAGGTGGGATGAAGCTCTACCTCCTGGGCATTGTCCTCGAAAACACAAATAACAGCCTCCATTTATACACAGTCCTGTGCACCGCACATGGCCTTCCTCCGGGCTGCCTGGCTCATCCTGCCCGCACTGCAGGGGACACACATGTGCATCTGCTGGCGGAGCCTTTGAAGAAGCCCTTTCCGTTCTGCCATCGTTTGTATTTACTTTACACTTCACATGGAATTTATAGGCTCACCTTCATTTTAGAGAAGAGCCTGGTTTTGGAGATTCTCTAAATGACTGCTTTTCACATCTATACTTACATCCTCGGATTTGGAGAGGGTAGGGACTCAATTAGAAAGCCAGCAATTTAGGAGATAATTATCTTCCTCCTTGCCATATGCCAGGAGAAAGCTCGCGACATCTTTGCTGTCATTGATACAGCCTCAGATATTTTGTAAGGAGAGTACTAGAAGCCCAGGTTTAACATGACCCCCCCCCCAACACCCCCCCATCATAAATAATGGAGCAGAATTTTGGAAGAAGGCATACGCTCCAGGCTCAGACAAATCCTCATGGGACCTTGCTTCCCACAGTCGCTAGACATGACTTCAGGCAAATCATATGACTTATTAATTCTCATTGTCTTTATAAAAGGAGGGTCATACTGCCTTCAAGGACCAATTGACACAGGGCGATGGGAGTTGACTATGACCCTCCCAGTTCTCCATATTACAAGGAGTTCACAAAGAAGGGACCGTTAAGTATACTTGATGTGGTGTGATAATTACTAATAAGACAACCTGCCTTGTGTATCTGTGTGGGGCACTCAGGCTAAGTCCTATCGTTTCTAGAGTTGAATGCTCACGGGCCAGGAGAAGAGTCCCTATGGACGAAGCATGCCGGTTTTGGGGTCTGGGCCTTGCCACTTGCTTGATGTGTGATCTCAGATGAGTTAAGCTCTCTGTGCCTCAGTTTCCTCCCTGTAAATAACCATAGCTTACAGTCGGTGAAGTACAGCAATGAGCCCGTCACATAGATTGTCTTATTTATTCCACATGAGAATATTAAGAGACACGTATTGCTATCATCCAGGTTTACGGGTGAGGAAACTGAGGCACAGAACCCTGGCTTAACTTGTCCTGCATTGAAGCTGGCAAGTGACAGAATCGGGATTCAAACTCCCAACATATGCTTCCAGACCCCACATATTGAAAACTTGACAGGGGTATTAAGATAATTGAACGAGACAGAAGATATTATTAAGATAACTAAATAGGGTAGATCACCCTGATAGAAGTATTAAGTCATTAAATGAAATAAGCAACACAAGAGCCTAAGCTGGATTCGTGGCCCATGGTAAGCACTCCATAAACGGGAACCTAGCACTTACTGGTTTTCTCAGCCTCATCATACAAGCCTCCCCCCACCTCAGAGTTGTACTGGTCACTAGGACAGATGTTTCACTGAAATTCACAATTTGTTTTTGTTGTTTTGTTTTCATCCAAAGACTGACATTTCCACCCTGGGGAACAACCCTGTGTGCCACACTGCCAGTGCACCTGCAGGGGGCGCCACTAGTGGCTATGGCAGCCTCCTGCTCACCTGGGCAGCCCACACCACGCCCCCTGCTGGACACACCCTTGAAAGAAACACGCAGAAGCCAAAGGACTAAGAACACCAACTCACAGGTACCTTTTCAGACTAAGCTTTTATTTTTTTGATATTACAAACCAGTTTTCTTTATTCACAAACCACTGTAAGTGATATAAACACTAATTTCTAAAGACAGATATACACATTTTCTGGGTTTGCAGATTGCGTGATGTGTGTGTTAAGAAGTCACTATAGGCCACACATGATATTAATCTTTTTTTCATAATTCATAATAGCAATAGTTATTTAGATAAATGAAAACATTCCAAATAAATACTGTTTTAAAAAATCCAAAATGTCTGTTTACATCTCTGACATACATTTTAAAATGACTTGTTGGCATCTTGGAGGAGTGCCTAGACAGAAGATCTGCAACCTCAGTTGGCACCCACTTGCTCTAAATGATTTTATTAAAACTACATACAGTCATGGGGGAAAAGTACAGCTCATCAATGAAAATCAAAACTGCAAATTAATTTTACTTTAACCAACACAGTAAGAATTCTATGTTTGTGATTCCAAATACAATGCAAATTCTGGAGTGTGAAATTTGAGGCAATTGGGAGAAATCTGTTTATTCTCCCTAGCCCCCTGTTCTTTCTCTCTCTCTCTCCCCTCCGGGGTAGGATGCCATGGTATTTTAAGAAATTCTTGCCTTTCAAAACATCAACTGCCATCACATTGCTTCCCAGGTGGGGGGATGGGAATGCCTTAGTGATGCTATAAAACACCCCTCTGCCCCTCCCCTCCCCCACCCAGAGAAGCCTGCGGAAAAGAACGTCTAATACGCTTTGGGCTGCTGAGCGGTTTCCCCCCTTTCTCTCTGGGTTCAAGACAACCGTCATCTGCCTTAGATATCGAAGCTACAGAAACTTGGTTTTCAAATCTTGTGAAACTTTATTGATGGTTTAATATCCAACCGATCTTACTGCATGCACATAGGATGACAAGAATGCTGGATCACAAACACTTTTTTTTTTTAAGTTTTGTTTGGTTTTGTTTGAAAGCAGAGTTGTTACAGCGGATTGGCAGGTTCACAGCGGTGAGTTGATAACTTACTAAAGTGCTTGCCAGACGGCCGGCACTGTACACATGAAGACTTAACTAGGGCAGCAAAACTACTGGGGACAGCTTGCTGCTGCTTGTTTCATTTAAATACAAAAACAGGAAGACCCGTGACAGATACCCCAACTCAGGTTAACTTGTAAACAGGACAACATGGAAGGCGTTCAAACAGAAGTCATCCGGACAAACTGCAATTTTTCGGCCATGTGTGTCGCTCTGGCCCTGCTTCTGAGGTGGGGGGAGGGGCTTTGTTCTTCGGGGAGGAGGAGGGTACACCTACATTTTTGCTTCCTTCTGACAAGTGTCCTGGGCCTTGGAGACAGAACTCACGTTACTGGTTTGAGATCATCACTGTGACCAGGACGAATAGGGGGTGGGGTGGGGGGAAAGTGGGCAGGCTCTCACAGACTGAAAAATTGCAGCTTGCTCACATAACACAGTCATGTTTCAAAAAGTACCAAGCTGACGAAAATACCATGATTATCTCTACTCAATGATTGCAATACTTGTAAAATGCTTCTAGAAATCCGAATATGATTATCATGTAATTCCATAAAAATTATACGTCTGTCTCTAACAGTTGTTCTACTAGGCTAAAACTAAAGCTTCATAGACTGTTTCTAGAACTTAACAACTCCACTGCACAGATGTAAATTTTATACATTTTTTAACTGGTACAAAGAATTTAAGTTTTTATTACTTTCTTTTTTTGGAAAAAAAGAAAAAAATAGAAACAGTGCTTTTTATCACCTTTTTATTAATGTTATTTTTTTCCCTCCCATAATATAAAAGTCAGCAATGATATCAATAATTTATTATACTGGAAGAAATATAAAAAGAATGCTTGTTGATGGCCTAACTAGCAGTTTTTGCCTAAATAACTAGCGGCTGGTTAAGAAGCTGAATACTGCCCAGGGGGAAAGGTTAAAGGGTGGGTTTGCACAGCTTCATTCAACTTGGATGCACAAGGGCTGCTAGAAGCATCCCCTTAACAGCATAACCTTTGGCCTGAACGGACAATGAGTAACTTAGAACCGTTGCTATATGATCGTTGGTGCAGTGGGTCATTTAGATTCATCAGTTACTATTTTTTTTTTCTTTCAGTCGAACCCCAGTCCCAATCCCCTAAGTCCCTCCCACCTTTCCCCTTTCATAAAATAAAATAATGCAGATGCAGAAAAAATGACTACTGTAGTCACTTACACTCTTCCCGAACAGCTGATAACCCCAGTAGCTTACTATTCAGCATATATAATTCATTTACATGATAAAGCACTCTGGATATGGCCCTAAACCAGTTTTTATTCATAGCTAGCATCTCTCTAGGTCAACCACAAAAAAAAAACCAAAAACAAAAAAACAAAAAAAACCTCCTACAGCCAGCAACCAAACTACAGAACCTTCAGAAATTAAAGACCCACAATAGTAAAATACACAGAACAAAATATCTGAGGTATAAGATAAAAAATGTAATTTTTTTTCCTCTTTTTAGTTTTTAGAGTTGCTAAAATGATGCACTACTGCATGTATTGCAATACCCAGGCCTCGGAAAGCTTCCTTTCTCCCCACATTGGAAGGTTTTTATGGTTTTGTCATTTAGTATGGAGCAAAACGGTTGTATCCCCCTCGGTATATACTAGCCTGCAATGAAGAAAGAACGAGACCCACATCATCAGCATGGCTCCTAGTCTTGGCATCAGTCAAGGGTGCAAAAGCATTCTGAAACAAAGCAATTTGAGGGGTGTGTTTTTTACATTTTCCTTTTGCAACACGTGGATCATCAAAAAAAGACTACTCATGTGAAAAATAGACACTCAAACTCAACCAAAATGAAGGCACCCCTACCCAACCCCAGGCCATTCTTGGAGAACTGAAGATAGGGCCAATCCTAACCACCCCCCATCCCCCCAAGAGCTCCACAGACAGAGAGCCCCTCTGAAACCCAATTCTGTAGGCCAGTCCGGGTAGTTGAAAGGACCCGGATATACACTGGACCACTGAAGGATGTGCAGTGTCTCATTCTGTTTGCTCATTTGATTCATTAACACTATGATCCATCGGGAAAAGCTCAATCTACACTCAAGAGGTTGAATGCAGATGACTGATTGAATGTCGTAATTCCACTCTCTTTTCCAACACATAACTCAAGTGGACTAGGTGTTGAAGCAGAGTGGTTGAAGGCAAAATCAGGATGGAAATTTAAATCAACTCCTTACTTGACGTGGCTCAATGAGCAGTATGGGAATTTGCGCTTAAGAGGGGAGTCATACGGATGGATTGCTTGATGTAACCGAGCTTGTGCAAAAGAACATGGTCCCCAGATCGTGGCTGAATTTCTACCACCACGCTCCAGCGAATTGTCTGGCCATGGCTTTGGACGGCTACGAGGTGGCACTTAATTTATTTCCTTTTTCTAAAGGTATTGGCGATTCAAATGAATGCCTATGGGGATTGAGTTTTAGGATAAAGGACTGAGAGTCTTGATCCCAAGCAGAAAGCTGCATGCCAAAAGCTGTGTAATGATTGCATACGCTCTCACGTGATGGGCACGTCTTACTGTACTCAAGAGTTTTAGTGCATAGAAGTTTGAACAAGTACAGGCAAATTCACCCACCCTCACCTCCCCTGTTTGCCCTCCCCCCACCCCCCAAACAAAAACCCAACCCCCCAAAAAACAAAAGACAACCCTCAAACCCAGCTGATTCCTTCTAATTCCTTATGTACTAGGCACACACACAAAGTGTGCCCCTCTCTATTTTCTTTCCTGGGCGACTATGACTTTAAACATGAATTGTAATAGGGGAGGAGAGGCAGTCAGATTCTCAGCTGCCTGACAGCAGAGGCCTGGAAGTGTGCAGCTTAGCTCCTCTGAAGTCTGTGCTGGGGCTGGAACCTTGGGGCTATGTGAATGAGCAGCAAGGGAGGGAAAAAAAAAAGAAAAAAAAAGTTCTGCATTGACACTGCATTCTGTTAGTGATGGATTTAATTATCAAAATGACTAATTATTCCATTAAGGTAAGTGCTCTGCTAGGTGAGACTTGCAAAATTAGAAATATAATAACTTACATGCACTACATTGCCAAGAAATTAAGACATTTATCAAGTTTACTGGGAGGATTAATGTGGCATTTTAGCTGCTGTTAGATTAGCACAAGAGACAAATTCAATTAAGGGGAGAGTGAGAGGACATCAACCGTCAACCCGTACAAAGGTCCCAGCTGGGGAAGGGAAGGGAGTGGGAAGAAGTGAGGAAGAGGAGGAATTGGTACTCACCATGGCACCAACGCCGTAGGTGGGGGCTGGAGCAAGTGTGTGGTGGTAGGGGTCGGCAGCATAAACTCGTCCGTAACTGAAAGGGAAATAGAGGTGAAGATTAATCCATAATATGCAGTTACAAAGTAATAATAGCAACCATAAAATGCAAAATACCAAGACAGTGTGGAGGGGCCCTACTCATCTTCATACCTAAGGAACATATTCCTATCTGCCACATAACATTTAAAAAGTCCATCTGTGCATTTGTCCATTTAACAAGGCTGGTCTCTCATAGGACCATTTCTAACTGCTCATGCGGCTACCCTGGAGACCAAGGTAGGCAAACAAACAAACAACACAAAACAATGTGAAAAAATGGTTTTAAGAAGCCCTGTACACCCAGTACCCCCAGGGGACATGTTAATACTCAAGAGAGATGGTCCTTTTCTCCTAATTTAGCTGTCACCAATCAAAGGAGAAAGGGTGAATCAAAATGGGCAAAGTGACCCAGTCTTTGCAGTTAGGGTCCAACATTTTGTTAAGAGCCAACACACTTAAATAGAAGCATCCTTGAAGGGTTTCTGGGACACCATCCCACCCCACTCAAGAGTTATAGCTCATGTGATTTCAATCCTATCAATCCAGAACCTCTAACTCATCAATCTATGGTCAGGTTCTGGGAAGGGACACATTTCAAACAGTATTTCTTGATGACAGTTCCTTATCTTCGAGTTTTTCTGTCTCTCTTTCCCATCCTCCTCCCTCCTCTGCCATGACTTCCAGCACAGGCCTCAGAATAAAAAATGAAGAAGGGAAGGAAGCCTGATGCATTCAGTGTCTATTAAGTGTCCTGGACTGAATGATGCCACAGATCAGAAATTAGGGTTCAGAGAGGTGAAGTCACTTGCTCAAGATCACAGAGCTAGATAGTCAGAGCTGACCTTCACATTTCTCAGAGCCACTGGAAGGATCTTTCCATGGGGGCATGTACCCTTACTTAAATGGCCTGCCGGATACCTCCTTGCAGGTAGTTTGAACATTGCTCCTTCAATAATGATCAAAGCTGAGATGCAATCTTAAGTTAGGTTCCCCAGAAGAGCCTGAAATAGAGATTCTTGTGCATGTAAAGAAGAAGGGGAGAGAGAGGCAGGCAGTTCCATAGCCAGGGAGAGAGGAGAAATGGCCTGAGCTAGAGATTAACTTTCACCTGACCCTGTGAATTGTGCCCCAGAATGAATCCCAGCTGGAGGCAAGGGGGTTGGTTTTTTGAACACTCATGTAAGTTGAGCATTAGCTGCAGGTTTTCTCCGGGGGGTAGACAAGAACTGAGTTGAAGTGACTTTCGTGGGCAGAAGGTAATTCTCTGAAGAAGGGAGCACCTGAGCACTGTTAGCAGCTGGGGAATGGGGTACCAGTCACTAAATGGGATATATGTGGATTACCCACAGCTTTTGGCTCTTGGACTTTCCTTTAAAGAATGAAGGAACAAGGCCGGAAGAAATGGTTTGTCTGTTCTATCAACTACTGTCAACCTTAAGCCACCTCCCATCTCTTGGAGTCTAATTTCCACAGGCTTTATTCTTCTCCTTCTCTATCTTTTCACCATTTTGCTTCCAATCTTCTTGCTCATAGTTGGTGAAACTGGATGGGCCTGGCTAGCGTGGCTCAGCGGTTGAGTGTCGACCTATGAACCAGGAGCTCATGGTTCAATTCCCAGTCAGGGCACATGCCCCAGTTGCTGGCTCAATCCCCATGAGGGAGGCGTGCAGGAGGCAGCCAATCAATGATTCTCTCTCCTCATTGATATCTCTGTCTCTCCCCCTCCCTTCCTCTCTGACATGAATATATTAAAAAAAAAATCTACTAGATGGAGCATATAAGCCAGTCAGAGAAAGGCAAATATCACATGATCTCACTCATATGTGGAATCTAATGAACAAAATAAACTGATGAACAAAATAGAACCAGAGACATAGAAGCAAGGAACAGACTATGGAATCTCAGAGGGAAGGTGGGGGAGGTAGGTGGGTGGGAAGAGATTAACCAAAGAACCTGAATGCATATATGCATAATCCATGGACACAGATAATAGGGTGGTGGAGGCCTGGGATGGGGGGAGGGGCAGGGGCGCGCTGGCTAGAAGGGATCAATGCGGAAGAGGGTGGGGGGACGGACATATGTAATCCTTTCAACAATAAAGATTAAGAAAAACAAAACAGAATGTACTGGATGGGCCTGGCATGATTGCTTACACCATGGAACCCTGAAAGTTCGGAAGAAGTTGGGTGAAGATCCTTCTAACTCATGGGCTCTAGTTTAGACTCCAGGTGAGAAAAAATGATTTGACCAGTTCACATTGGATGTGTCTTCTTCCCGAGCCCTCCTTGCCTGTTCAGGGAGTACCAAGCTCCAACAATCCAGATGAGGCTTTCTGCTTCAACACACTGTGTTCTCCCGATCCTCACAAGCGGTATGAGAATGGATGTTTCTCAGTGAAACAGACAATCTACCCTCCCCTTTGAACTTCATCCCCTGAGACACCTGCCAGCCCTCTGGCTCATCACAAAAGGCCTTCCAAGACCCCCATCTCTCTGGGAGCAAAAACAGATGGGAGTCCAAGACAGAGGGCATGTTAAAACAAGAGGAATGATGACATTTTTGAAGATGTCACTCATTCAGGGAGATCACTCATGAAAGCTGGGCCTCGACCCATGCAATTAGAAGTAAATATTCATAGGTGTAAAAGAACATGAGATACAACTTTTTCGTTAATTTTTATTTCATGAGAAAGTAAAGCTGTCATTAGTCCAGAGGGTTAAAAAAAGTGATCATAGAATTATTTTTAACGCACTTTCACTCTGCAAAGCTGGTGGTATGAACAGGACGTATACAGCAAAAGCGAACTGAAAACCCTTGGAAATGTACTATGTAATGCCACAGCATGATGTCCCTTCAAAATGGGTATGAAGATGTAAATTCATAGGAATTACTGTTTTTTTCTTTTAATTTGGGGAATGAGTTTACTGTGGCAAAGATTTCCTCTTTTTGGTAGACGACATGCTGATGGCTTGAATGCATTGCATGAAAACGTAGCTCCCACCCTTTTCTCCCACGTACTTTAATTGTACATTCTTATTTGTTTATAACACTGGGCAGAGCCTCAGTGGAAAGCCCAAGGTAACAATTTGGCAATGTTCTCTGCCTGGGCAGAAGAAAAATACAGCAGCGCTGAACTATTCCTGGTAAATGAGCAGGCGCCTTTTCTCCTCAGGGTGACCTCTACCTTCAGATTCTGATGGTTTTATTATGATTAATAAATTTCATTTCCACAGAGGAAAAGGGACCATGTCAGCTCAAACTGAAAGCAAGGAGGCTTCTTTTCAAATGCTAATTTCTGAACACGCCCTTGTGTGACACTACAATTTAGACACAAGGTTATTAGGGAAGATGTGGACTCCAGCTCTACTCTCATAACAGCTATGCCAGGCACGTCGGCAACCCTGCGCCCTCAGAGCTGGCTAAGCACAGCCTGAAGGAAGAATGGCAAGTCCCAGGGACCCCAATGGAGTGATGGGAAAATGTGTCTGGACTGCCGTGTTATGAGTGATCTCCGCACATGGTCACCTCCACCCCACCTGGTCTTGGCCAAGGTGGACCACAGTGCATCAGGTCATGACGCTCTGTTTCCCCGCAGCCCAGCCCTCAGAAATTACAGGTGAAATCTTAAATGTATCCACGTCATTCCATTCACACTGTCACCATCCTAACATCACATATTTCCCAGAACCAAATCAACAATAACCTTAAATCTTGTCTCTTTGGCTCCACTTCTGCTTCTCCAAACCACCAGCTATTTACTATTATATCTGTATCTATCAAATCTATCTATCTATCTATCTATCTATCTATCTATCTATCATATATCTATCTATTCATCTATCTATCCACTTATCTAATTGAGATAAATCTACTTATATCACTTCTTTGCTTAAAACCCTCCCCTGATTCTAGAATACAATCCAAACTTTCCTGAGTCACCCCTGTCCCTCTCTCAATCCTCTCCTGCACCCCTCTAGCCCTTGTTTACTGTGTTCCAGGCACACTGGCCTCTTCAATACTCCTTGGACATATGCAAATTCATTCTTTTTTTAGGGCTTGGGCACTCACTCATTCTCCACCCGAATTGCTGCCTTTTCTTCTTGATGTCTCAGGTCAAATGTCATTTCCCTAGAGAGATGCTCCCTTTCCTGACCCCTCTTTCTGAATCACACTTTCCCACCCTCTCCTCACCCCCTCATGCCAAGCAGCAAATCTCTAGTAATTTTGTCTACTTACTTCTCTCCCTGGTTATTCACCTGTCCCCCCTCCTGCACTGTCAGCCCCATGGAGTCTGGGGCAGAGTCTAGCACAGCACTGGGCACAGTGCAGAGGAACCAGGGCCACGCCACTGCCACCGAGTGAGTGGAGGCAGCAAGAGGGAGGGTTGGAGAGGAGGGAACTGTACCCATCATTATGATTCTGTTAGTGGCAAAGCTTTCCGAAGTCCTTAGGTCAGCTGCTCTTAGCAACATTCAAACCCCTTAAGGACACCCAGAAGAAAACTTTCTGGGGACTTTGGAAATACAGTGTGTAATTTCCGATCACCCCTGAGAGTTTATAAATCACTGCCCAAGTTGTCATAAGGCTCACCAAAACCCTTAGGGAAAAACCAAACAAACAAAGGAATAAAAGGTAACAGCTTGCTGCCATCATGAGCCCTTGTCTAATCTTGACCTTAGCAACAACTTAAAATGAGGCGGCCCACACCGGGCCCTGGGAAGGGCAAAGGCCTTGGGGCAAGAATATCCAGGTTCAAGTTCTGCCTTTGCAATGTCCTTGCTCAATGACTTGGGCACCGATACCAAGGATACCAATAAAATGGTATCGTTTTATCTGAGCCCTGCCTAATTCACAGATAAAGTGCATGGGAAGAAACCAGACATGTTTTAAAGCAGTCTGCACATTATGATACAAGGGCTTTATATAGGTTTTCACAAGCCAATCTCTGTAGAAGGAACTGAATGATCCTCTTCTAATATGATCATGTGTAGCTCT